GGTGTCTTCCCACATTAGAATGTAAGCTCCTGGAGGCCAGGACTGGCTTTCTTTTTGCTTGTACTTAATTTGAATTCCTAGTGCTTCGTCCAGTACCTGGTATGAAGTGAGTATTTAATAAATGCCTTTTGCCTTCTTTCTGTAGTCTTTTTGTACTGTTGTAAAACATATCTTTTTTAAAAAAAATTTTGTTTTTAGGCAGTTGGGGTGAAGTGACTTGCCCAGGGTCACACAGCTAGTACGAGTCAAACGTTTGGTCTGAGGCCAGATTTGAACTCACGTGCTTCTGACTTCAGGGCCAGTGCTCTATCCACCATGCCACCCAGCTGTCCCTAAAACATATCTTGAGTAGCCATGGGGAGGCTGTTGCTGGAGACTCAGGAATGTAAGGGTGCTGAGAGCCCTTTCTGGGGAACAAGACTAAGTCTGGGTGAACACTGGGTTTGGGGTTTGAGAAGCTAGGTTCAGGTCTAGCTCTGTCATTTTATGCCTGTGTGATTTTGGGCCAGGCCCTTAACTACTCTGGGCCTCTGTGTTTTCACCTTTAAAACACTAGGGTCGAAGCAGACAGCTTCTGAGGCCCCTTCCAGCTCCTGATCTGTCATCTGATGACCTTTGTAAGCTCCCCTAGCCTTTATTTGTGGGGCTTTGTATGTGTTGTACCCTGAGGAAACAATGTAAGTTTCAAGTTGGAGGAGGCAATGAAGGTCTTTTCGTTTGATATCTTTTGATTTATATCGAAGACCTGGGAGCTATCTTATTACCTTAGCCCTCACTGTAACTCCATGTTGGATTTTCATTCATTCATTCTTTCAGCAAACATGCATTCAGTTCCTATTGTGTACAGAATGCTCTATAAGGATCTAGGGGTCATAAAAAATTTAGATAAGAGGAGCTCCCATTCCATTTCCTGACCGCCTTTGCTCAGGCTGTTCCAACTTCCTGGAATGCACTTCCTCCTCAGTCTTGCCTCTTAGACTTTCTAGTTTCTTTCAAGACCCAACTCATGTGCCACTTTTTAGTTGAAGCTTTCCTTAACCCCTAATAGTTTCTAATAATATTCATTCTTTCCTCCTCAAATTATCCTGTGTATGTTTACATGTTGTATCTCTCTAGTAGAATGTAAGCTCCTTGTGGACAGACACCGTTTTCCTATGGGCTTTGTATCCCCAGCACTTAAAATTTGTGACTTGAACATAGTGGGCATTTAATAAATGCCTATTGGATTGAATTAATTGGGGCTGGGAGTAATGTGAGATAAAACTGGAAAGGCAGAGTGGTGCCAGGTTATGGAAGGCTTTGAATGCCAGGCATATGAGTTTGAATTTTACTGAGGAGGCCTTGGAGAGACTCTGAATACTACTAAGCAGGGGAGTGGCATGGCCAGATCTATTCTTTTTTTTTTCTTTTTGGTGAGGCAGTCGGGACTAAGTGACTTGCCCGGGTTCACGCAGCTAGTAAGTGTCATGTGTCTGAGATAGGATTTGAACTCAGGTTCTCCTGACTCAAAGGCCAGAGCTCTATCCACTGCATCACCTAGCTGCCCCAGCCAGATCTATTCTTTTTTTTTTTTTTTGCTAGGCAGTGGGCTTAAATGACTTGCCCAGGGTCACACAGCTAGTAAGTGTCAAGTGTCTGGTCTGAGATCAGATTTGAACTCAGGTTCTCCTGACTCCAGGGCCAGTGCTCTATCCACTGTGCCACCTAGCTGCCCCCCAGATCTATTCTTGAGAAAGATTATTCTGTCTGCATTATAGAGGATGGGTGGGATTACAGATAGATTAGAGGGACATTATAATGGAAGTGGGAAGATCTGTTAGGAGGCTATTTTTTGGGTAGAGAGGAGTGTTAATGAGGGCCTGAGTGAGGGTGGTGACCTTGAGAATAGGCTGGAGAGCATGGGAGAGAGGTTGTGGAGGTCTAACAGATAGGACCTTTTAATTCAGTTTTGAGAGCAGGAGACTGGGTGAATAGTGGCACCACATGTAGAAATAGGGAAGTGAGAAGGAGGAGCAGGTTTTAGGAGTTCATAGGATCATAGATTAGAACTAGAAGAGACTTTAGAGGACATTTTGTCTGAAATCCTCGTTTTTTCAGATAAGGAAGGATTGAATGACTTAGTGAATGGCAGATGCAGAATTTAAACCTTGGTCCTCTGACTCTGGGTCTGTTGCACCATGCTGCCTCTCAGTAAAACAGAAGAAGCTCAGACTGGGTTGTATTGAGTATGGGTACTAGTGACACCTCTCTCCCTTGGGGCATATATAGCTTCAGTGAAGACATCAAATGATTAATCAGAGAGAAATGCCAAGAACAGGTTAAGTCTCCTGCTCTTTATAATTTGGCTGAAAATTAAATGAAATGTGGTTCTTTTAGAGGACCTCCCAGTTGACCATTCTAATACTTCACTGTCTTTGGATAAAAGCTTCTTTTCAGGTATAGAATATATTTACATTTCCAACATGATATCAATAACAAATTGTGTGCCAGAAGAGTGTAATGCTTTCTGTGGGGCTTTATCTACGATTAGATTTTACTAAATTACAGAGTACAAATATCAGGCAATGACTCTTTGCTTTTAATTATTCAATTTCATGGTAGATCTACATAGCTCAGTAATTATAAAATCAGTACCAATATGGTTACCAAGAAAATACCTGATCATCTCCATCTTCTAACTTGGAATTTAGGTGGCCCCATAATTATCTGAGGTTTCTGGGTTGAGTGTAAAGGATATTTCAAAGGAATGTCGAATGATGTGTAATTACCCTGTAATTACAAGGTATTTAGACAGTGATTCTATTCCATTTAGCTAGATAAACAGAAGAGAAAGACCTGGAGAAAATAGGTGCTTGCAGAGAAAGACAGTTGATCCCAGGAAGCCATTCAGGTCATTCTGTATGTCCTCAACAGATCCTGGCTAGCTTCTTATTAAGTTACCCTCTTGTTTTAAGTCTGCCCCTTGCCTATGTTGAGTAAAAGTCCAATCATTTTCTTTTGGATGAGTTCTCAGGTTTGTTTTCTTCTTTCTTCTCTTCCAGCCCTGGACAGGTCCTGTGAGTAATCGAGTCCACTGTCCTGGAAACTGGATGAGCTTGTGGCTGAAAGGAATTATTTGAGCTGATCGTGGGAAATCAAACAGTGACAGGAGGAGGAAAAAGAGAATAGAGAGAAACCGACACATCTGAACAGCCAGCTGGGGCACTGTGCATACAAATGCAGGTTGTAGCCTGTTTTTTGTTTCAGCTCATTACAGAGGAACGCATCAGAGGCAGGCAGCATGAGGGCCTGGGAAGCAGAAGGCCGAAATTGTTGTCTTTCTCATGGTGCTCTCCACTGGAACAGAAAGCATTCACACACTTTCAAGATACTGTGGAATCCAAACGGATTCTCTTTTTAAAATGCACATCATCGGGGAAGAATTTTTCTAGGTGGTCCAAATTCCCTTTTCATGTTGCAACTCCACTCCCAAGAAATTGGAAAAAAACCCCTTTGAGTGGGTGCCAGGCATGATGGCTCCAGAGGTGAGCTCCCTCTACTGGTGATGGGAGGGGGCACCTCACCTGAGGCCTCTGAAGCCTGCTGCCTTCAGTGATGGTGTAGAATCCCTGAGAGAGAAGATAGACCACAGGGGGCCATCTTGTTCCCTGCCTCTGGATGGATGTGGGGAGGAGTTTGGGAGGGGGAAAAAAATCAATGTTTTCCAAATGAAAAGGGACAGAGAGCATTTTGTATTAGAGCTTCTTGGAGTGTTACAGATAATGGAGTGAACCAGGGCCAGGGAACTCTGAACAATGATGAGGAATCTTGGATTCATTCTTTCCCAAGTGCTTCCTTTGTGAGCTCCTACAGCCTTTCCCGCTTTCCCCCTTTCCCCCACTGCATCCCCTGCTGCAGCACTCACTCCTTTCCCACTTATTAGTGGGTATCATCAGGCCTTTGGCAACATTTCCTGGGAGCCTGCAGCTGGGCTGACACTGATCAGTATGTGCATTGGAAATGTGTTTGTGAGTGTGCAGTATATTAAGTTAGCATCCAGCTCTGGGTATTATATAAGGCTTTGTTTGTCCTTTAGGGAACTATCCATAGAGGCACCAAGAAAAGAAGTAGACCCTTAAGGATTCTACCTGGGATCTTGTCCCCTCGCTCCAGGATCTATTCCACATTGGATGTTCCGTGACCCAGGCTAAAATCATATTGGATAGGTAGCAAATTCATTGTGTCTCATTGCTAGGTAACCTATGGAATAAGAATGCTGCAGTTCTTATAAGGCACCAGTTTATAAATAAATGAACATTCATTAATGCTAAATGAAATTAGAATTACATTTCCTCCCAGTTTTGTTTAGAAGGCAGAAATAACTGGTTTGGTTGTGTGATTTTGCTGCTGATGCTATAACATGGAGTCACAAGGTGATAATGATAATAACAATAATACTAATGATAGGAATTTTCACTTTGCTGGTGCCTTTTGTTCCAAGATCTCAAAGCAGATATTACCACTTTGCTTCTGTAAATACTCATTGAGGCTCAGAGGCTTGCATGTGGTCAGATAGATGGTCAAGGGTAGAGTATGAGGCTTATAACCTCCGCCTGATTGAACTTGCTCTCTCTCAGGAAACAGAACTAGAATAATAGTCAGGGGCTGTGGGTTCTAATCCTGTCTACTGATAAACCTTGGGTAAGTTATTTCCTCTCTTTGGACCTCATTGTCTTCTGTAACATAAGGGGTTTAATACCTCTAAGATTTCTCCAGGCTTTGACATTCCATGATTCTTTGTTAACATTTTAAAAAGCCAATAAAATCTTAGTTGTATTGCTTACAAAATACTGTGGTTCTGACCTCCTTGTGGTAAATATATATACAACTTGGAATCACTTCTCTCAGTATCTTTTTTTTTTTAAATGAGACTTAGATTTACCCTGTAGAAATAAAAGAATCGCAAATAAAAGCACTATTTCCTTAAACTTTACACTTTATTCATTGAAGTAAGGCTTGTTTTGGATTGTGTGTTTTCTTCTTAAATTGAAATCCAGGAGTGGGTCAGGCACCTGTCCACAGCTTCACTGTCGGGTTTCTAAAACATAGGGTTTTGTCCACACTCTTCTGTGGCAGAGCCCATCAATTCACTGCAGAGAGAAGCAAAAGGAATTTGTCAGCTGTTCTGTCAGCCTGTCCTAGGAGAAAAAACTCCCAATCCTTAAAACATTTAAACAACAACAACAACAACCCAGGAGGAAGGTCTGGCAGCCTCCAAGTCTAGTTAAAGGGAGTTGCCATGGAAGCTCTACCTCGCCGATGTCTTTATAGCCTGGGGGAAGTCACTCAACCTCTCAGTTTCTCCATCTCTAACCAGGCTTCTTTTCTTCTCCCAGGGTTTGGGAAAATTCATTAGTCAAATGATATCTGGTACCTGGAACTTTAACCCAAACAATGCCCTGAACTTCTGTAAGGCCAAATGGAATCCAAAGTTTTGATTTTCAGAATGAGTGGGATAATGCAGACTTTCCCATCAAAATTCAGGCAACAGTTTGACCTCTGGGAAATCACCTGGTCCTGGTTTTGTTTAGTTTAAAGAAATGAAAAATGGTTGGACTAAGGGGAGGGTTGTGAGGTGAGTATGTTCATTTTTGGCTCTTCCTCTCTTGCCTGTCTCCATCTCCCCCGCCCCAGCAGAAGAAGGGCACAAAAATGGGGACAGAGACACTGAAGCTGGGGCTCGGGTGCTTAAGGGCTTGAGAATCCTGCTTGAGCAGCCGACAGCAACAATCATTTGCTTGCAACGGCCTGTTATTAGGCTCCCCTCGGAGATGAGGGTGCATGGGCAGGAGGAAGACAGCTTAATGTTCTTAAGTGTAAAGCAGAAAAACAAATTGCAGTCCGTAAGCGGAGCAAACCCAGCTCGGCTGGTGCTTCTGGAATATAAATACCCGAACAGCCCTGACAGGGAGGAGGCGGAGGGGCGGGAGGATAGGAACCGAGACTCAGAAACTCAGAATCCTTACCGTTCTGGGTGGACAGCAACACCTCAGTCAGCAGCTCTTCCAGGACGCCCCGATATTTTTCCAGCTGCCTGGAGTTCATCCTTATTCCAATTTCTACAGGAGCAGTCAGCTATGAAATAAGGCAGAGTTAACAAGAAAGGAATATGCACAGAGAGAGTGGTTAACCCTTAGGTGCCCTACAGGTAGAAGGAAGGATTGACTCTAGGGTACTAGGCATATCTTCCTCCTTTACTCTGGGGCTTTTTCTGTGCTGCTCAGGTAGCCATGGGGATAGCTAGGAATTGAAAAGCCCCTTTGGTGCTGTGTTTTTAAACTAGGGTGCCAGACTCACTGGCACACTGCCTAGGGGTACAGCAGAGAAAGTACTCTGTTGATTTTCCTAACAGGATAAACAAACCTCCTTTGGTGGCAGATGATTGTGTGTGTGTGTGTGTGTGTGTGTGTGTGTGTGTGTGTGTGTGTGTGTGTGTGTGTGTGTGTGCGCGCGCGCTTCTCCCCACCTCCCATGCAGGGAAAAGAGCTGAAGCTGGAGGGAGCTGATCCTTGAGTTTCCCCACAGAGATTCAGCACGAGCTAGCTCCGCGAACTTATTTGGGGGAGAGGCTATGCTCTCAAGAGGCCCAGGAATTAGGGGAGATGCAGCCTTGTAAAATCACACAAGTGAAGCCCTGGCAGGCCTAGGGCTGAGGAGTGATCAGAAGTGAGACCGACAGGTTTAAAGCAGAAAGGCTGATGTGCAAATCTAGCCCGAACAGCAGCCAACAGCAGGGGAGGATGGTGCAGAAGGGAGGGGGGTAGGTTTTAAGTCAGGAATATAATAGACTCTGACTTGGAGAACTGTAAGATGTCAGGACTGGGAAGGACTTTAGAACATGTTAAATATAACAGAGAATGTTGGAACTGGAAGGGACCTTAGACATCATCTAGTCTAACTGTATCATTTTATAAGTGAGGAAACTGAAGCCCAGAGAAGTAAGAAATGGGAGAATTTGTGGGTAGGGCATCTGAGGCAAAAGCCATTATTTCCTATGATTCTTATGGGCCTGGACTGGTCTGGCTTCGAATCATGGAATCTCAGGGCTGGAAGGGACCTCAGAGACCACCTATCTCTTTCAACCTCCTAATTCTACACAGGATCAAATGGAGACTGAGAGAGGGGTGTGACTTGCCCAAGCTAACAAAGCAAATTAGTGCCAGGGCCAGGCTATGATGCATGCCTCTCTTGTGCTGAACTGAGTTGGTCTTACAGTTCTATAGGGAAAGACTTATGTCTCCAAGAGGCAGTCCTGAGATTGAAAAGGTTCCCCTAATTCCTTGAGAGGACTCCCCTGAGAGAGGTTCTGCAGCCTAAGCCTATCAGTTGTCATGTCCCATATCTCACACATTTCCCAGTTATTAGAAGTAGACTTGAGGTGTGCCGAATGCATCATCCAGAATGTGGGATTAACAGATGGTAGTAGAAGGCAATTACCTCCAGCACTTTTATTTTATACTGGCCTCCTGCCACAGTTAGATCCTCAGGGCAGTCGTACCACGGTGCAATGGAGAGGGTACTGGACTGGAAGTCAGTACTAATTTGCTGTGTGACCTCAAGCAACTCACTCCCACTCTCTGAACCTCAATTTCTTCCTTTATAGAATTAAATCATTGCACTAGATGGTTTCTGAGGTTCATTCTAGCTCTGACACTCCTTGATTCTCAAGCAGCCTGACCTTTGTTCATATCTGTCAGATTACAACAACTTATTCTCCCAGGTCCTTCTAGTTTTGACATTTTATGATTCTCAATCAGAAGCTCAAATGGCCCAGACTTTTGCCACTCAGTAGCTACCTTACTAGATTTTGCTCAGAATGTATTTGGTGTAGTGGGGAAAAGTACCAGACTTGGAATTAGGGGCCTGTGCTTGAATTCCCTGGTTAGTACAGCAGTAACTTTGTCTACCTGCTGTGTTGTAGACTGGGATTTGATTAATTCCCAGTAGGGGAAGGAACTACAACCTTATTTGGGAGGCAGTGGAGAATGCTGGAGCTGGAGTCTGAGAGCCTTGAATTTGAGTTCTGACTCTACCACTTACTAGTACTGTGTGAGCTGGTTGGAGCAAATCACTTAATTTATCTGGGCCACAGTGGTTTCCTCCTTTGTAAAATGAGGGGTTTGGACTAGATGACCTTAAAGATCTTTTCTTGGAACTGAGGATGCTAGCCTGGAGAAAAGAAGACTTAGAGGGCATATGATATCTATTTTCAAGTATTGGAAGATCTGTTGTATGGAAGAGGAATTAGACTGGTTCTATTTGGCCCCAGAAGGCAGAACTCTGTGCAGTGGGTAAAAGTTACAAAGAGGCTAATTTTGGCTTGAAGTCAGGAAAAGCTTCTGAACAATAAAAGCTACCCCAAATGAAGTGACCATTTGTCAGGTTGTGGTAGAAAGCATTCTTTTTTGGGGGGAGGGGTAGGTTGGATTAGATGATTGCTTGAGGTCCTTTACAACTCTGAAATTCTGTGATTCTTTGATTCCACCTCTAAATCTATAGCCCTTCCTCTGTGACCTTGAACAAGTCACTGAACTTCTCTGGGCTCGTTTCATCACCTGTAAAATAAGGAGGTTGGACTTGATAGTCTCTGAGGTCTAGCTCTAAAGCCCATGAATTGGAACCTCAAGCATAAAGTACTAGGCTGGGAGAACAATGCCTCTCTGACTGACTCAGTTGGCTAGTTTGTACCCCAAAGCCAAATTTCTGTCCCCTCAATTGTTGTCAGCATCAGTCTTCTGCACCTTGGAGATCCATCTCTTCTGATGAACTGGGCTGATCTCTGGGCCTGATCCTTACCTTGATCATTTCATTCTCTTCCTCCTTCTTGAACTCCAGGAGAGCAATAGGATCCCCCTCCTCTGATCTGTGCTGCACTCTCAGAGATTTCTTTTGCCCTTTATTCCTTTCCTTCTCCTGGAGGAGGCACAACAGAGCATAGCATTAGACTCACCTGTCCTTAACTAAGCCCCTTTCTACATTCTCTCATCTCCTACCACTAACAAGCCAGTTGCTGCCTCTAACAAAGGTCTCCCTTGGGTTGTTGCAGAATGTGTAGTCAGCTCTGGAACTCTCTGAGAGGGGGGGCAAGCACCTCCCCATCCCACCACCCTAACCACTCTCCAGGCATCCTGGATGGGGACAATTACAAAATCCAGTTGTTCAGAAATAGTCCTTGGGGTTGAGCAGCCAAGAGGTGCTGGAACGCCGTTCACTTTTACTTAATGCATTGCACTCTGATTGTTGTTGTTAATTAAGTTAAAATGCTTAAAATAATTGTCGCTCTTCGTGCATATTAAGTAGAAAAAAATGTGTTTTGAGCAAGGAGCCTATAAAGCTCAGGAGAAAGACAGAGCAGCCTGTGTGGGAGCTGGAGAGGGGGAGGGGAGGTGGCCCATGTGTGCCGAGTCCCTGGGAGGTGATTTATAAGCGCCAAGACAGAGAGATGAATTATGGAGGAAGGAGATTGCAGCTTCTTCATAAAATTCCCCGCACCTTGCAATTACGAGGAGAAAAACCGTAGAGCAGATTAATGTAAAGTGTCCTTTAGTTGCCGTTTTGCTATTTTATGTTCTACTGAGTTTGACTGTTTCAGTCCAGCCCCAAATCTTGCTTGGTGTCCTTCTCCCAAGGTCCCTGAGCGCTGTAGATCAGATACATCCCAGCCTTTTATAATTCCTTTGGTTTCTCTAATGACACTCTTAGGATTCCTCTCTAGGCATGTCTTCAGATGTGTCTATTCCAGTGCAATTGATCTACCCTTCAGTAGAGTACGCTAACATTTGTTGTGACAGCGCCTTAAAGAAGCCGTCAGAGCTCCTCCTTGCCATCTTCATTCCTCCCCAAAAGAAGGGCTTTGAATGCCACCTCAAAGAGCTGCTGTTTCATCTGGGATCTACAGAATGTCCCCCTTTTCTTTCTGCTTGTACCTTCCATATCACACATGCCACAAGGGAGATTTGGGCCAGGAGGCAGGCCTCTGTGGCACCAGTGGATTTTGTGTGTTTATCTTTCTGTGTTGGAGCCTCAGGCTCAGTCGGAAGAGGGCTAGGGATGTGGTGAGGGAAATGAGATGTGTTATGTGACTTTCATTCCACCAGCTCCTTAGGTTACCAGATTAAGGGAGCACAAGAAGCTGCCTACAGATGCCACCAGACAGGATCTCAAGCCAAGAGTTAGGAGAAATAGGAAGCAAGACACGAAAGTGTATGAGAGACAGTATGCTCTCATAGGCCCCAGCCTTAGACTCAGGAGACTGCATTAATAAGCTCCTGACTCTGCTGCTTATTATTTATGTATTGCCTTGGGCAAGTCACTTGTACAATGGGAAGATAGATCACTGGCTCTGAATTCAGAAGACCTGGTTTCTAATTCCACTGGTTAGACCTTGGGTGAGCCAACTTCCCCATACCTGGTCCTCAGTTTCCTTATCTGTAAAATGAATGGGTTAGACTAGATAAACTCTTAAGTTTCCTTCTAGCTCCAAATCATTGATCGGATTGTCTATGATCCAACCTCTAAGAGCCCATGGGGAAGGCTAAAATGAGAATGATAATAGTTATTATACTGCTTCCCTCACAGTGCTGTTATAAAAATTGCTTTGTGCCGCCCCGCCCCCCTTTTCTAAAAAGTCTGGGCCTGTGACTTTTATCAATGTAGGGAATTCTCCACATGGAAATTCCTTCCATTGATTCATTTCACTCACTCCTCTATAATTTAGGGTCTTAGAGAGATGCCTGGGGCACACTGAGTGAGAGGGAGATAACTGGTTTGTGTCAGACAGAGAACTTGACCTCACATCTTCTGACTCCAATCTATCAAGTACACCATCATGCCTCTTGCAATCTTTAAAAATGTTCTATAAACACATGTTGCTCCTATCATGTATGATTCTCTTCCTTATATAGGGTCTGTTGTTTTAGTTTTCTCAGATCTGCCCTCATTGCCTAGGGTTTGGTAAATATGAAGAAGCCCTTCTACTTTTGACAACTTTAGGAAGCTCTTTCCCTTTTCTTTCTCTGTGATTTTCCACACATTTTCCTAGTCTAAAATGCCATCCCTCCCTCTTGTTCACCCACCCATGCATGTCCTGCTTCCTATTACTTTGGGGATGATCTCTCTGGCCTGTGAACTCTTACAGTCCTTACTAGCTGTGTTACCACTCTCTTGGAATTTGTCAAACACTGCCACCAGCTTGGGTATTGTCACTTAGTGTTTTCGCAAGTTTTCTGTCTTGTCTCCCCAGGTAGGTGTAAGGTCCTCAAGGGTAGGAGTTTTGTTCTGTGGTTCTCTGCATCATTCTACAGTGCCAGGCACATAACTAGATGCTCAGAAAATGGTGGCTAAATTATTTACATTTTCCTGCAGAGGATGGGTAGAGACAGAAAAAGGTGAAAAATCACATTGTTCATACCTTATCAACAACACTAGTGCAAGGTTTAGTCAACAAGGATGTTAGAATTCTGGGCCAAAATAAAATTTTGGGGTGATCTGTTTCGTTTGCTGATGCTCTTCTTCCCTCTTATTGTAATGGGCAATTCAAAGAAGATGACATTGAGGTATCTCTGCTATATATAGGGAAGGTCAGAGGTGTACCAGAGCCAGCTCTTACTAGCTCGAGAAAGCCAATTGCAAAATTTTCAGTGGGAGCATTTACCACTGAGAAAATGCTACCAGTCAGGGCTTGATTTATTGTTCTGTTGGTGGGCTAGACTTGTCAAGACTTAAGAATGTGCTGGAGAAAATGGTGATAATGCAGATTAAACTTAAAAGTGTGTCAACCATACTTGTTTTTCCCCAGAGAGCCTGTTGTTAAACATTTACTAGTATGCGCATGGGGAAGGCTAACAACCTTTTAGCTTTCAGTAAGGGCTTAAAGTTACCTTCATCAAACCAAGAGAAATGAGCAGCAAACCCAAGTTTACCTGCATTCTCTGGACATCACTGTATGTGAAAATGGGGACAAAGCCTTCTGTCTGGGCAGCCAGCATGGTCGCTATGTACATCACAAGCATAGTAGCTACAAGCTTGCTGGACACCATCCCGGAGACTAGAAACAACAAAGGGAGTTGGTCATGATACGTGGGAGCAGCAATGAGAAGTCATTTTGGCTCCTTTACAGTTTACAGTGTATTCCTTACAACCACTCTCTGAGTTAGATAGTACAAGTATTATTTTATACCCATCTTACAGATGAGGAAATTGAGACCCAGTGAGGCGAAAAAGGCTGATTCATAGGTTCATAAATTGAGGACCTTAGAGAAATCTGGTCCACACCATTAATTTTACAGTTAAGGGAACAGGTCCAGAGAGGTTGGGTGACTAACCCATGGTCACACATGAATAAGTGGCAGAGCCATGATTTATAACCTAGATCTTCTGACTCCCAGCACTTTTCCCATTTGACCACCCAGCTTTTCTGAGTGGGATGGAAAGATCATTGGATGAGGAGGCAGATGACCTGGGTTTCATCCCCATTCCCTCGCTAGTTGTGTGAACTTGGACAAGTCACCTCCTTACCTTGGGTCTCAACTGCCTCATTTTAAAAATAAGGATAGTACTTTACCTGCCTCCAGACATGGGCTGGACTAGTTGTATTTGTATTTGTTCCAACTTTCAGATATATGAAAACCATCCAAAGACCTTGGGAATAAATGTACAATAGCTTAACAAAAACTAAAGAATAGCCATTCTCCAACTTTCTGACTCTTTCTCTCTCTTTCTGACCATCCTCTATGGCAGCCTTCTGTGTGTTGGTTGCAGCTCAGGGCAATAGTGAATAAAAGAACACTGAGAGGCAGAGAACCTGGGTTCTGTTCCAGGCTTTCCCATTACTTTGGAATGTGACCTTATTTAGATCAATTTCATTTTCAAGCCTCTGTTATATGAAGGGGTTGAAATAGACAGTTTCTAAGATCCTTTGTTCTAATGTTCAATGATTTTATCCATTGAAGTAGAGTGGATGGATCCCCTTTTCTTCAGAGAATTTCCCCCTCCCTCTGATTTCCGTAAATCCTTATGATAAACCAGATCACAGCCGCCCACACTGAGCAACCCTCCTGTGTGCAGCCTGTACCAGATTAAAATGTAATTGAGAAATATCTAACAAAATAAATAAAAATATAATAGAAGATAGATAATGTTACTTTTTGGTCTTCTAAATCAGCATGATGTCTGCAGGGATGTAGGGCCTAGTGGCCCTGTTTCTATTTGAGTCTGATACACTGTTGTAGAAACCCTCCGCTCGACCAGTATTTCCCTGCCCAGCTTCCATGCTGCCCCATCTGGCTGGGTTGGTTAAAGCAGGGGAATGTACTAGATGACCCCTCGAGACCTCTTGCAGGTTTAAGAATCTTCCTATTGTGCCAACATTTGCTGTCAGATGGTATAGGCTGGGTCAGGGCTCAGTGGGCATTAGGAAGAAATGACCCACAGCCCAGGGCAACCATCTGCCTGACTCATGAAGGATCCAGATGGAATTGACAGCAGTGATTCCCTCCAGAGAGAAAATTCAGAGTGTTCCCCCAGGCCCACTCAGATGGATGCCAAGGGCTGCTGCCCAGAACAGCATTCAGGAGCCTGGGGTGGGAAACCCTTTCGCTTTGGTGGGGGCAAAGCACTGGAGCCAAAATGAACATTTTCTCAGCATGTGTGTTTCTGAGCCTCCGTTTGGCAGTCATCCAGAAACAGCAGTGCTGGCAAAGCCTCCCTTCGAGCAACTGGGATTCCTTGGAGCCCTGCAAATGCACGGCAAAGCGTCAGCATGGATGGATGTGGTTCTACCTGAGCCCTGGGGAGGGGGCCTTCCTAGGCTGAAGATTTGTGACTCCACTGGGGATGAGAAGCTGTCTTACACTGTAGGTTGACAAGGCTATGGTGACAGTCATAGGTTGTTGGGGTCCATTCCTTTGCCTACCGATGCTTTTATTGCTAGAGTAGGGATGAAGCCAAAGAAAGGATAATTGGGAGAGGATCTATCAGATCTATAGCGTCCAGGAAGACCCTGCAAGATACATAGCCTTGCTGGATGGTTTCCCTAAGTTAATTGTTTACATTGACGTAGCACTTTATATATAGTTATCTTGGATGAGTCTCTTATACTTAAAAAGTGATTTCACATCCATGATTTCATTACAACCCTGCAAAGTCCTGTTTTTACAGAGGGAGAAGTCAAGGCTGACAATGGGGAAGTGGTTTGCTCAGGAGGGAAAAGCAATGTGATATAGTGGAAAGAATACTGACTTTGTGGAGTCAAAAGCCTTGAGTTTGCATCCTTGCTCAAGCAGTTATTAACTTGGACGAGTCACTTCTCTGATTCTCAGTTTCTTCGTATGCAAAATGGGGTATTATCTGCTGGTTATTATAAGTAAAGCTCTTTGTAAAATATTAGAACTATGTAGATAGTAAATAAATATTAAAACTATACAAATGTGAGTCATTATTATTAGTAGTAGTACTATTATTATTATTACTCAAAGTCACACAAGAAGTCAGTGAGAGCTAGGATTTGGTGGCTCTGGAGTCCCTGGCAGAGATGGAGATAAATTGATGAACTGTTTACTTGGGAGGGTGTCTAGTACAAACCGCCTGAGCCCTATGGACTTGTAGAGTCTAATCTCAGTGATCTCCCAACGTATCCCTATTGTTAGTAGATAGCTACATCACATAGCAGCAATCGGGTAGCAGGAAGGTCCTGATGTTATCTTTTATCACTCTTTGGTTACTTCTTACCAGGGACGGCTCAGGTACTTGAAGCACAAGACCCCAAAATAAGTTGGTAGTGGCAGGAGTAGGGGGAAAGGTAGGGGAAAGTGAATCTTAGAGGCAGTCTTGGTAGAGAAGAGAAGTAATTACACTATACAGGGTTATCTCTCTCCCCCTGACCATTATGTCTAAGGTCAGTTCTCTCCCTCCGGCTGCACCAGATAAGGCACTTCAATAGGCTGGACCCTGACCTGTCTCCGTTGGCTCTAAGCTCTTGTTTAATCTAGCGTCTGTAATAAAGGAAAGCTTTGCATCTGTCTATACTAGTATCCAAGGCTTTTCTGCACATAAAATATCGTCCTTCCACATGAAAGAAAATCTCTAAAGGTGGCGTATTTTGCTTCTTAATCTTGGCCTGATATCTCATAAATTTGAATCCCACCTTTACAGAGGCTAGACACTATTCTTCTACTTGTATCTTTCTGATATGGTCTGTCTCAGTTAGTCAGTCAAGCACTTATTCTGTGCCTGGCACTGTGCTAGGTACTAGGGATAAGAAAGGCAAGAAAAAAATGATCCCTTCTCTCAAGAAACTCATATTCTAAGACAAGAGACAATATGAAAACAACTATGTACATACAAAAGTCATACAGTGTAAATGGGGGGTAATTTTAGAGAGGGGGCACTATTTTCTAATAATAATAAAAAAATAATAATAATGATAATAATAATAATAATATTAGGAATAGGGACTGGACCTGTGATTTTATCGGTATGAGTTCCCAACTGAGGAAACTCTCTTTACCAATGATGGTTCACTTCTCTGCAACTTATAGCCATAAAAAACTATGAGAACTCTATCATTGATAGGTTAAGTGACCTGCCCTGGGTCACACTGTGTGTGTCAGGGGTGGGGCTTAAACTCAGGTCTTCCTGATTCGGAGGCTGGCTTTCTATCCACTATAATAATCTTCTAAAATAATAATATATTCTAAAATAATAATGATAACACACTGTAGTACCTTAAGGCCAAGAAAGCTTTGTCCTATTATATATCCCCATTTTACAGATGAGAAGATGAGACAGGGAGAATTGCCTATAGTTAAGCAGATAATAAATAGTAGATTCAAACGTAGATGTTTTGACTCCAAGTCTAGAGCTTTTTCCATTGCCTCATAGCCACTTCCCTGGCAAAGGGCAGAACATCAGGCTTAATGTTGAAACCTCCTGAGCAAGACTATTGACAAATCATATTGTTATCCACTCTAAAAAGCCTACTGAGCCCTCAGGAAGGTTAGGCACAGCAAAGGGGAGGGTGTCCAGGGAAAAGCTATCATCAGAGACATAAAGAGAACTAGAAAGGCAAAAGGAGTGAGCAGAGGCCCAGGGGAAAGGGAGATAGAGATTTGCTGTTCATTTCCAGCCTTGTCAATATTTTATGCCAAATTCCCATGGAGTCCAAACATCTACAGGTCTTTTACCCATCAGAGGTGGAAACTTCACCTCTGCATCCCACTGACTCTGCAGAGATGCTCTGATCTAGATCCCCGCTTTGTTCTAGAATTAGCATTTCCTTCACTAGAATCGCTTTGTGAGAATCAATACAAACTTTAAATAAAAATGAGCTAAATCCAATTGCCACTCATCTTCTTTATCCAACTGGCTGCCAGCATGTAACCCGTGTTCATTTACATTCGTCTTTCTTCAGAGGAGGAAAGAGAGCTCTTTGTGGTACAATAAAGCGTTAACTTCCCTGTTCAGTGGTGGGGGATCAGACTTTAATAACACAGCCATGAATTTCCACACTACTCATCTTCCCTAGGATTTCAGGGAGCTTCCTAGCCTTTCTCTCACTCAGCCTCTTAATTCCCCTGTGTGATAGTGATCTTTCCCCTAAACTGCATTGTCTCCCAGAGTAAAACTCACTCATGCTAAGTGTGGTGCTATCGTCACAGCCTGGGCTCATGGTTAAATTTAAGCAACCCGTCCTCACGGTTCAGATTCCTTCTTCTCACAGATGTGACCAAACTGTTTCCCTTTGGGCTCAGATTCCACTTACTCCTTCACAATTTCCCTTTTGAGTAGTCAACCCTTCTGGGGATCTCCACTGGCTGCCTCCTGCCATTCCTTTGAGAATCTAGACTTCTGAGTAAAAAGACTGATTGCTGTGTCAATCCGCATTCTGCCTAAGTTTGGGTCAGATGTCCCACCCCAAACCCCTTTCCCTTTCTCCCACCCCAGCCTCAAATGCTGGCTTTGCCATGTGATAGCTGTATGACTTTAGCAAGTCACTTAACTCAGTTTCCTTTGGGGTTACCAGCTCCAAATCTGTGACCATATGAGCCTTCACTCCCTGACCACTATATCTTGGGCCATCTCTCCCCCTACTCAACAATCACAACTTGGGTGATCTGTCTCCCTCTGTGTGACCACCCCATGCAGCTCTTCCATTCAGTGAATCTCTAGAATGGTTTCTCTGGCTCTGAATCTCTATACTGTGCTTTGAAGTCCAGACCTTACTTAAAAATGGTTCAGGACTACAAGGGTATAGTTTCTGGCTCAGGTTTTCTCTTTTGCTATTCCCTAGAATTTCCTCCTCCCCACGTTCTGCTTTGTCTACTTACAGGGTGAGCGTAGGTCTGTGTCTGTCCAGATCTGGTTCTTGTCCTTAATTCTCCGACTGGTACGACAGTGCCTCATATATTTATATATAAACCCCCTGCCCTTTGGGGAATCTCCTGACCTTTGTACCTCCCTTTTTGGACACAGGGGGTGGGGTAGGAGGAGGTGGGTGGGTGACTGGAATTCTTGGAGCTCATAGAAACAGCTGGTAGTGACAGCTGCTCTAAGGGGTTGCTTTGAATTTCCTGGAGGGCCTCTTTTCCAGGAACTAATCAGAGTTCAATTGCAGACCAGAATATACCCAAAG